GACACTATATTGCCTTATATGTATTAGCTCGGAGCTAGCGTGAAAATCAAGCTAAACTGAGGTCCTCCATCCATATTTTCTGTTGCAGGCTGAGTCATGTTTGTGTTCCCCTCTCTGTCATGTGGATGGAGGACCTCAGTGATGAGAGAATGTGTAGCACTGAGTTACTATGGCGATACTGAGTCGGTGCTAGCACGAAGGCTAACTAATGGAGACAACAAACAACTCTAAATACACTGACTTTATATGTAAATATCATTTTTATACTCTGATGATGTTTTTGTCTTAAAGTAAAAATTTGATGTATAAAATAATTGAGCTGGACGGCTTCAGATAAGAATAAATAAATTTTTAAAGCTCATTGCCTCCTGACACGTCTCAGTGCTCTGAAAGACTCAGAAACCTGTCAGGTTTGAGTTGTTTCTGTGATCATAAAGTTTGTGAGTCAGTCTTTGCTCAGGTTTCTTTGTGTCTCCTCTCTTGCAGCACGTGAGTACCGAGGCTTTAATCTGCAGATCTGTTGCTGCTCAGCGCTGAAGGGCTAACGACGCGGCGCTCTGTGTCGTCACGCTCTGTGTGAAGATCCAGCTGTGCAAACGGATGACAGCAGCCAGCGTGGTGTGGCTGCAGGAGACGCCGTTAATAAATCATGTCATGTCACCTTAATTGTTTCCCAAAACAGTGCGAGTCTTTGACGGCGTGCTCGTCCACGGCTTTGCAATTTTCACTGAATTACTGAGCAATTATGTTTTTGTCATTATGTGGTGTTTCCATAACCTTCACTAATTTGTATGTGTTCTTCATGCTGTTTTCATTGGCTGGATTTGGACRTGGGAAACTGAAGGGGGTAGGTACTAAAACCTTCCATCACTTCACCTTCATACTCACTGGTCATTTAAAGCAGAACTGTAAAATATACTATAAAAGTTGTCAGAAAACATAATTTTTGCTGTACTTCTCTGCAGGGATACACACCTCTGCACATCGCAGCGTTACATGGTCACCAGCACATTCTGGACCTGCTCATCAGGACTTATGGTAAAATGTTTTTCCTCTCTTCTGATTGGTGCAAGTGGGTGGGTTTTAGTGTACTGTAATTTCATTACCTCCGCCAAGGAGGTAATGTTTTCGGTTGCGTATGGATGAATTGTCATGACATTTTAACCGTTTGTGGGTACTGGGCCAAGTAACACACCATTAAATTTTGGTGATGTTCTGGATCACGATGCGGATACAGGAATTTTTTTTCTTTTCATCCTCTGAGATCGGCAAAGCTGTGATGCTTTCACAGGGCTTCTGTAAAAAACAGTGAGCTGGATTGGACAGCACGGACTTCAAACTTTATAAAAGTAATGTTAAAACCACATTTAA